CAACTTTTACTCCGAATGGTAGTCTGTTGAATTTGTACAACCCTTTGTGCGTATTAATGCAAATGATTTTTGTACTCTCTTCTTGTCCTGAGATTTGTAGATAAGCCTCACTTAGATCTATTTTTGAAAATATCTTACCGCCGTTGAGCTTTGTAAATATTTCCTCTGGGCTCGGTAGTGGGTAATGATGGTCTTTTATAGCCTTGTTAAGCCCCATCAAAAAATCTGCGCATACGCTGATTTCTCCTGATTTCTTTTTGACATACACTTCCGGTGCTGCCCATTCACTAAACTCTATTTTTGAAAGAATCCCAGTTTGTTCAAGTCTTTCCAATTCTTTGTCGATATTTTCTATAGTAGCGAACGGTACGTTTCGCTTCTTTTTAAAAACTGGTTGGATGTTTTCTTTTAATTCAATTCTGGCCTCAAATTTGTTGCATCGTCCCAACCCGCTCGAAAATACATCAGGAAATTGGTTATATAATTTTTTCTTTAACTTTATAGCATTTGATGGTTCAACCTCTAACTTTTTGCAAAAAGAGTTGATAGGTAGGTCCCAAACGTTGAACTTTTGCATCCAGTCGATACCTACTAGATTTTCAGTATCTTTCATGACGTATATCTTAAGTTTTTTTTGGGTTTTTTTTCCCGTGAAATTTAACATTCACGATTATTTCTTCTTCGAATTTTATTCCCTTGCCTGTAACTGACTTGGAAATTTTTGTTTATGTAACATGGTTGGTCTGTTAAGTTTTCTCCATGTCTGTAGGTTGATTATCGTGAGGTCGGAACCCGAATCCAGTTGCAATTTTATCTTTTTATTTAAAATTTCAAGTTCCACATATTTCCTTATGTTGGTATTGTCTTCGTTATGCATCTTAGTAGCTCTTATTCTACTAGTATCTGTACTGTTCCTACATTGGCTTGCCTTGTGGCCCATTTTTCCACACTCAAGACAGTTTTTATATTTAAAACAGCAATCCTTGTTCCAATGTAGTCCTGCTGATGGGGGGGGGGTATATTTGCTTCGATTTTCGTCATAATTTGCCCTGTATGTTGTACTTTTTCTCTTATTATAGAATTTTTGTTTTCTTTCCGGGGAGGGTGGGAATCTTTTTTCATTATTATAGAATTTTTGTTTTCTTTCCGGGGAAGGTGAAAAACGTAGACTTTTGTTTATCTTACGTATATGAGATACAGCTGACTCCTCAATGTCCTTCGAGTCTTTCTTTATACTTAGACATTACTGGCAATCTTCCGATATTTGTTGTAGTGTTAGTTCAGGTTCATTTTGTAATTTGAAAAGCATTCTTTTGCGCATTTCACTATCTTTTGTTGAAACTAACCCTTGAACAAAGATGAGACGCTTGAAATTGTCCGGGGTTATTTCCGTTAATTTGAAGTCGTCGCAATGTTTATTTACGATTGCGGCAAACATGGAATAATCCTCATTATCGCCCTTTACCAGGTTAAGGTATTTCCACCTCTTGTGGAAGAGTGATGTTTTAGGACTGAAGATTTCTTTAAGACATGTCACTGCTTCGTCAAATGTTAATTCGTTCGGCTTTTTTGGCAAGATATAATCTACGAACTTTGTATATTTTTCAGTTCCTAATTTTCTAAGCAATAGACGTAGCTTTTTTTGCTTCTGTCCAGTTTTGATAGTCTATGTTAAAGATGTCTTCATGTCTTCTGAAGTAATCTCCAAAATTTTTGTCCTCATTTAGAGAATATTTGAAAATCTCTATGGTATTCCACACTGCGTCTTGCGAAAATGTTGCTTCTTTTTCAATGTCTAATTGCTTGTTGCCTGCTATTTTCAATATTAGTTCCTGGAGCTCTGTTTGTCTTTCTTGATTTTCCTTCTGCGTTTGTAGTATTTACTTTTGCCATTTTTCTTCCATTCCTCCTTGTAGTTGTAATTGTTGATCATTTTGGTATTTTATCAGTTCTACCAAAATATTTTTTAAATCTTCCATGATAACTCAATTGTACGTATTTTTAATCCTCGTAACTCTTTGTCGCAAATTTGTTGTGGACGACGAGGGAAAAAATTTTTGTTGTTTGTTCTTCCCGTGTGAGTTCAAATCACTCGTCGTCAATTTGTTGTGGACGAGGGAAGATTTTTCTATTTCTTCTTCTCGTGTGAGTTCGAATCGCTCGTTGCCAATTTGTTGTGGATTCCGGGATGAAATATGAAAAGCAGGAATGAAATATAGCAAATAAATCTATTGATGTAATAATACAATTGGTAATATGGTTAGTAGATCCAGAAATGCGGTTAGTAGCAATAATAATATATATACAGTCTGGGAAATTCAGTATCGAATTATGACTTCCTTCTGAGTCTACGTGCTCGCAACTGTGACTCCTACAAAGCGGTTACCTCACACTCTCACTCTCTCACCCTATCACCCCCGGGTATTCACCGGCAACAGTACAAGTACACACTGGGCGAGTCCACTTGTATGAAAAAGGGGTTTATATATATATATAAATTAATAAATGCGTACGTGGTAGGGATTATTCCAATGAGGTCATTTTAATATAAATATATTAAAAAGTTAACTCCTTGATGAAACTTAAAGTATAAAATTTTATACACACCAATATGAATAAATAAATAATAAAGAAAAGACTTAATTAGTCATAATATGATGGCTTACAATATATATATATATATATATATATATATATATATATATATATGTATATATATTCATATATATGGCCTCGTCCGAACAACTACAATTTACTTATTTAATAAAATGTTGTCGGTCTCTGTGAGGCTTGCTTACACACACACACACACACACACACACACACACACACACACACACACACACACACACACACACATATATATATATATATATATATATATATATATATATGCCTCGTCCGAACAACTACAATTTACTTACTTAATAAAATGTTGTCGGTCTTTGTGTGGCTTACTTACACACACACACACACACACACACACACACATGTATCTATTATAATAGAGCATATGTATTTTTACAGCAAAAAAACAAAAATTACCTCAACATAGAAATAGTCTATTTCAAGTCGTTCTATGCCCGGCTATCATCAGTCACTATGTGTCTGTCTCGGAGTATTGTTTTGAATTTATTTTCAGTATCAGTCCTCCTCTGGTAGACCTCTTGTCAATAAGAATAATGTTGTGTTAACGAAAGGTGGGGGCGTAAGATATCTTATCTCGGGTGAAGTTGTCTGGGTTTGAATATTATTTATGGCCAGAACCTTTGTTTTTTGTAATTTAATATCAGTTCCTACTATTCGGCGTTTCTTAGCATGCCCTGAATGTGTTTTTTCTGGTATTCAAAGTGAATAGTTTTTCTATTGCAGGTGTCCATTAATAATTGATGGGGAGATTTAAACTTAAATCCGTTAAGATTAATGTAAATAAGTTGATTTATAGATTTATAGATTATGGGTAATACCCGAGCACCTAGTGCAATGAATCATGCTGTGCAACACAGTTATATGCGTACATATCTTCATACATACATATATGTACATTTACATGTCCATACATAATATGCCATTATACGTACACACCCCTCCAACATATATGCACATGTATTCTTATGTAATTTGGAAGTTTTTTCCTATGTCTATATTTCGTGATTAATTCTCTCCGTTGATTTAATAGTTTGCATTGAACTTTATATTTTATTATCCTGCTTTTTTTTTCTTCTAAACATAGACTATTGGGGGTGTTTGCGAAACCTAGAAATATCCAACTTAATTTTGAGACCCTTTTCCTTCAATTCCCCAAATTTATTTGAAAGAGCTGTTTGGTGTTTTAATTTTGGATTGGTGAATGAATGTCTATGTGATTCTCTTTTTAAATTCTCCTGCAGAAATACCGATGTAAACATTATGGTTTGTCGTATTTTCTTTAGGGGTAATGGTTGCTTGGTATACTACCCTAGTGGATCTGCATTTGCCCTCTACTGGGCAGTTTTCCTAAGTCTACAATTACAGGAGGTTTTCATGTGAGATTTAGTTTGTTTTTTTTTCCTATGGAATTTACTTAAAATGTAACTGTGACGGGAATTAATAATTTGGTACATGTTATCAGTGCAGCAGTGGCTAATTTTGACTAGTTTCCTGTTGAATATCATATTTAGAAGTTTTTTTTGTAGAAAGGAAATTGCGGAAAGCTATGCTCACCAACGTCATGAAGGGACACACCACATAGAAGAAGGATTATCTGATTGATTTTTTTTTATTTTTACTGCTTATCAACACTTTGCAGGTTATTTCAAGCCAGAAAATATTTTTAGATTGGAAGAATATCTTCTTTTTTTTCCAGATAATAATGGTTTAATGAGACAAGTCTTAATAATTAACCCATTGCTGGTGGAGAAGAGGTGGATTCATACCTTTCAGAAGTGTATTTTTCCCGTGAATATAATAAAGAAACCCAACTGGAATTGGAACTCAACTCTCCGATTAACAATTCCGAGCTGTTATTCATTACACCACCCGCACATCCAAGCTTGCAGCGGTTGACAACCTTTTAACTGGTCTTTTTACACAAGTCAAGATCAATATATCTGTTCTACAATATATTTTATATAGTAATATATAGCATATATTAAAACTGAAACAGCTAGATATCTTTTTTGCGTTGTAGTAAATATTAGTTCGGACATTGTGAGGTCATTTGCGGATGCGTGCCAATGGAAATTGCTTGGCGTGCCATGTGTGGCACGCGTGCCGCAGGTTGCCGACTCCAGATAAACACTATGTGTTAGTGCTATAAGTCGTATTTTGTTCTACAATATATTTTATATAGTAATATATAGTATATATTAAAATTGAAACAGCTAAATACATTCTTTGCGCTGTAGTAGTTATTGGTTCGGACTTCGTGATGTCATTTGCGGCTGTGTGTCATTAGAAAATGTTTGGTGAACCACGTATGTCATAGTTTGGGAATACCAGATACTATAAACCTTTATAGAACCTGGTATTCCCAAGCAGTTACCCATCTAGCTATTGACAAGTCTCAACGTTGCTTAACTTCAGTGATCGTACGGGAACCGGTGTTTCAAACTGATGTAGCCGCAAGCATATGTAAGTAGATTTACATATATCGCACTCATATTAAATAATTTATACATACTTTAAAATATGGTCTTCTGTGGTATTCCATCTAATGTGGCTTGTTCATCCAGTATTATAATGGCTTTTAGAATATTAACTCTTTCTTTCCAGAGATTCCTATATAATCCTTTCGGATTATCTACTCCTATATAAGTTACATAATAAATGTTAACAAATTACTAGTTATCCTAACGATTTTTGATATTATAATGTCGTCCTCTTGTCAAATAATGATACATTCTTTACGGGTTTGATATGACAGTATAAGATGTCTATTATTAATCTTTTCTGGCGTTCGCTTGAAAGTGACGTGACACAAGTTATAGTTTCGTAAAACATGCTGAATAAAATAGGGTATTAGAAAAAAGAAATGAAAAATAAAGAAAGCTTTTTATTCTTTACATTTGACGAAGGATATTTTTCGTTTGCGGTAATATGTTGATGTTTTCATATACAAATTGAATCTTTTCATATAGAACATGTTTATTTTCATATACAAAAAATAATTAATGTTTTTATGCACAAAAGGAACAACATTTTCGTATAAATATATCTTTTTACTATTGCTGATGCTGCTGTGAGGTAATGTTTTCAAGACAGTTTTTCAGTGTCCAGTTAAAAAATGCACCATTATAGGAATCAGATCTGTGTAATAATATCACGCAACAGACGAAAGATTTTGCTGCCGAAGAGAGAGAAGGACAGAAAATATTCTAAACATAAAAGGAAAGAAAGAAAGAAAAAAGAAAAGAAAGAAAGAAAGAAAGAAAGAAAGAAAGAAAGAAGAGAATGGCGAAAAAGTAAAAGAAAGAAGGAAGTATAAAAATGAAAGAAAAATTGGGACGAATACATTTAAGGAGGGAAGCATTAAAGACAAACAGACAACAAGAAAGGAAATAGAAAGAAAGAAAGAAAGAAAGAAAGAAAGAAAGAAAGAATTATATAAAAGGAAGAAAAATGCAAGATAGGAGAAAATAAACGAAGAAAGAAACGTGTGAAGGATTTATCCACCCCCCAAAAATGAAAAAGATAAGAATAAAATAATTGAAATAAAGAAACAAAGAAAGAAAGAAAGAAAGAAAAGAGAAAAGGCCGGAAAGGGAATGAAAAAGATGAAAGAAAGAAACGAAGAGTCATATAAAAGAAAAAAAAACAAGATATCAGAAAATAAGCGAAGAATGAAACGTGTAAGGGACGCCCTAATTCCAAAAAAATAAAAAAAATGGATGAAATAATTGAAAGAAAGAAAGAATATTTTTAAACAAGATGAAAAGAAAAAACACAAAGAAATTAGGAAAAAAGAACGAAAAGAAAAGAACGACAATATTGGAAACGTTTTATAAACGAAGGTTAAAGTATAAGAGAAAAATTGAGTGAAAAATGAAAAGGAAGACAGATTGAAAATGTAAAACCAGGAGAGAAAAAGACAAAGAAAGAAAATGAATGAATATTATGATGGAAATTGGTTAAAGGAAAAGGTCGTAACAATAACAGAATTGTAAATAGATAAAAAAACAAAGTAAAATTGCAAAAATGGAAGAAAAAAGAAGAAAGGAATAAAAAAAATCGTGAAGAAACTATTGTATAAGAAAGAAACAAGGAAACGACGGGGTGACAAAGAAAGAAAGAAAGAAAGAAACAAGAAACGAAAATTAGAGAACATGACAAAAGAAAGACAAAATGAATTTAAAAACATAATCTTCTTTTATTCCATATCGATTAATGATAACAGAAACTTTGGCTCGAGAGTCATTTATTCAACAATATGTCTTCTCGACTTTTCCTTATCATTGTGAGAACCGTATAATGTCATCTTTTCGAATTGGCAGGCTTCTTTTCGTGGTCAGTAGAATTGGAATAACAATTACGACATTGTTTTTAATGAAAAACACCTACCATTCGCTGTTTCGTCCTGTCTACCTTTCTGCAACTATTCTCTCTCTCTCTCTCTCTCTCTCTCTCTCTCTCTTTATCTATCTATCTATCTATCTCTCTCTCTATATATATATATATATATATATATATATATATATTCTTGCAAACGCATGAACTAGCAGTCGTGACAAGTCACTGCCTACCTGGATTTTGGTTTAATATTGAAGCTCTGCCATTTCTTATGGCATCTACCAGTAAGCAGCTTTTGAGCAGACCCTTTAGAGCTGCTCATCCTTTCCTCATATATATATATATATATATATATATATATATATATATATATATATATATATATCAGGTTCTTTTGATTTCCCTGAACTCTATTGTCAATCCCTTTTCCACTCTCTTCGTCCCTACGTTGCTGTCCCCAGATCGCAAATGTCCAACCCTGAGTCCTAATCCATGGTGTCGGGGAAAGTTAACTTTTGTAAGAAGACAGCTCCGGAAGGATGCTATCGGAGTAAAGATAAGACGATTTCCCTGTTCGATGCGTGCCAGTGGCCGGCAAACTGCAATCGATTTTGTTTGAC